TGTAGATTGGAGGTTCAGTGACTCTATGACAGTGCAGTAAAAATAATCTCTAACCATCCCAGCTATGGACAGATTCTTAAAAGTGAGTCTGTTTTGAATATTTAACCAGGTGTCCTTCCTGTTTAACCTCACATATCCTTCAAAGAACACACCTCCAGCCTCAGATCTGACTCGATGAGCTGCTCATTAAGCTGCAGAGAAACGCCATTAAAGAAACGTCTGGAATGATGCCGTTAAAGGCAGAGAGAAGCTCCCCGAGGTGATGAAGGAATATATGCAGCGTAATTATATATGGATTATGGAAAAGCTGCATTTCCATTTAAATGGTGGGAAGATAAGATGTGGTGATTGGACGGTTAGCAGAGAACAGAAGAGGGAAATAAAACCTTCGGGATTAAAGTGTGAACACGATGGTTAAATTTTCCAATTGTTGGGAGTCATCACGAAACAATCATGTACAACAACGAGTTGCTGATCCTCAGAGGTTCACGCATCCAGATGCAATTTACCATAATGGTTGTTTCTTCTGAGTGGCTTTAAAATATGAAGGTACTTCAGGGTGTTCTGTGGATCAAATCGGCTCTTTGGGGTTTGATTACGGGTGACTGTGAGCAAGATTGGTTCACAGACAGTCAAGACAATGACAACCTTATGTAACACAACTCTATGTAGTTTCCTGTTGTTTGTCGCCAATTAATAAACATAAAATGTCTATTATACCTGAGAAAATGTGACTTCATTCATGGTTGTTCCATCTATTTAAACAACTAAGCTACAAACTGTATTGATCTCTTATCAGGGAAATTCGTAATGAGTGAGATTGAAACAATAAGATTTTGGAATGATGGTTGACTGGATCCATATCCTCATGCGCAATTTAAGTGTTTATGTAGAGCAGTCAATCAGGGGTCAACAAAACTAGGGTTGGTAATGAATAATAATGAGTCGATTAATTGCAGTTAATAATTGAATTGATTAAAAATATATTAGCAGATGAGGCCGAGGACATGCAAGTCCGATAATGTATCGTAGATCGGCTGTAGTACTTGGCTGAGCCACCAGGTGGAGCCTCTTACTGTTTAATGTTCGTAGTTTGTTTGTTTTCTATATTTTAGTGACTTGAGGAGGCGTCACTCAGACTGCAGCTGGTTTTGTCTTGGCAAGAAGAGAGCATTGTGGGGGTTTAGCCACCAATGGGCACCATGACAAAGCCGTCAGTTAACGACTTCCGACTAGAGCTAACATTCAAGACAAATAGACTTTACGAGGACAGTTTTACTAACGCTAAAAGAAACACACACACAAAGAAAACAACTAAGTGGGTGTATAGAAATATGACTGCTACATCTCATTTTTAGTAGTGACTAATGATTGATATGTAGCCGCCTATCAGTTAAGAAAAATAGTTCAAAATTTGTATCCCTAATCTAAGGAAAACCCAAAAATGTGGTCCCACTACTTGGAACCAAACCTGACTCAACTTTTGGTTTTCCATTGGAAACCAACTACTGCAGAAATGAGAAAACGGGCCAATTCCTGCCAGCAACTAATAGCAAAAAACAACAACAACAAAAGGTAATTTTTGTGTTTTTCCATTTCAAACCAACAGCAAAAAACCAAACAAAACAAAACTGAAAACTCCATTTTTACATTTTAAACCAAATAATAAAAAGAAAGACAAAAAAGGAAAGAAAATTGGCCCTTTTTTTGTTTGCTTTTCAAACCAACAATGATCAAAATAGAATACTTGGCTATTTTAAACAACAATAGAAAAGAAAAAAGAAAAGGTTACTTTACTTTTTTCAATTTATCATTTTCTGTTTTCATTCAGTGTCCGATTATGTTTCTTTGGCCAAACTCTTTGGTTGTGCTTAGAAGGACATCATATTTAGTTAAAATACCAGAAGTCAACATCTATAGGCTTATTTTTCAGATTTTTCTTCTTCCCTCAGACCTTCTCCTGGCTTTTTTCTTTCACAGTTTTAAGCTTCTTGTCACGTCACTGATGGCCAACATGTGCAAATAAAGACTCTTCAGACAATAACTGAACTCCCTGATTCCTCCACATACGCTGGAAGGGAATCGTTGTTACTTGGAGGTTTATGGAGGAGAACAACTAAGCAGCAGACGAAGAGAAAACACAAGAAGAATAAAAAAGAAATGCCGTGTTCAAAAATAGCCTTTTTGTTCACATGGAAACCACCCAAATGAGACGAGCAGAGAAGAAAGACGAGGTTTCTAAAGAGATAAGGAGAGCTGGAGGTGATGGAAATAAAAGATGAGAATATGAAGAGGAGGAGAAGGAGGAAATAAAACAGGCAACTCACAGGTAGACGGGATGCGATAAGGAGGTGAAACATGAGATAAGACTCCGGTGTCATCTGCTCCTGGTCCTATTTTATCTGATCGGCTGGTTTTGTCTCGACCTTTTTAAAGTGTAAGAGACGCTGCTGACCTCACCAGGACTTAGCTGGTTAGATCCAAAAAAAATATGGGCTACTTCTTATTTTTCATTTTAAACCAACAGAGAAATAAAATCTGCCTCTTTTTCTGTTGTCGCTTTTTTTCATTTTAAAGTAACGGAGAAAAAGCTGAACACTGGGCTGTTTTTTATATTTACATTTTAAATCAACTGGAATGAAAATACATAAATTAAAAATACAGAAAACGTGCCTGTTTTTCATGTTTTCATTTTGAACCAATGGCTAAAAAAAATAAATCAACAAAAAAAAAAATCAGTTGCTGTTGGTTTGAAACATTTGTTTGTCTTCCCCCTTTTTTCCAACAACCAAAAACAACTAAACAAATTGGGCCTTTTCTTTGTTCGTTTTCCATTTTAAACTAACAATGAAAGAAGAAGAAATGGCAGGACCTGAGAGTCCAAGAAGAAGAAAGAAATACCCAACAGGAGGAGAGTGAACTGGAAAACAGTGAAGAAGCACGGAGCTGAGAATTGAGACAAATATAAGCTCAAAAAAACCCCCCAAAAAACGAGGAGTAAAGGTGACTCGAGGCCTCGGTTAAGCTTTCTGTCCTGCTTCGCTGATCTTTGCCATAAATCCTCAAACACCAGCGTCGTTCTCAGGAGGCTCCTCGGCTCGACAGCACCGCCAGGATTTCCTGTTTCGCCCGACTACAGGCCTGGATTTGTGGACTCAGTGAATATAATGAGGTCTGAGATGTGCGGAGGCGATAAGCAGAACCAGCGAGATAATTCCTGTGCTCGGGTTCAGGCGAAGGTTTACATTTCTGCAGCCGGCACTCGGCGATTTACAGCAGAAGCCAACAGCAGGATTTACTTTAGATCCCGAGTCTTTCTGCACTGCAGGCGGCGTTAACGAAGAAACAGGTCAAACAAGAAGAGCACAAAACACAGAAACCTGCAACGCTGACCAAAAATCATCAGGTCAGACGGAAGGACGCATTTAAAAAAAAGTTAATTAAAACTTAAAGATTATATCCTCATGTTAACACACGACAAATTCTAAAAGCTGATCTACAATTTGAAACATTTAGAGGCACAAAAATGGGCCAGTTTCAAGTTTGTCTGTTATTTTTATTGTTGGTTTAAAAAAAAATGTCTTTTTTTTTTCCCCCCCGCTGTTGGACCAGTTTACAGTTGTTTTGGCTGTTGAGTTAAAATGGAGACATAAAATATGGGCGTGTTTCCTTTTATTTATTTATTTTTCATTGATGGTTTAAAATGTAAAAATGAAAAGTAGTGCAGTTTTCTGTTTGTGTCACTGTTGGTTTAAAATAGAATTTTTTTTTTTACTAAGTAACAGTTTTTTGTGTTTTTTTTTTCCTTTCTTTTTCCTCCTCGCTGTTGTTTAAAAGGTTCAATTGTCCTGTTTTCTAATTTCTTTCATTGTTGGTTTCCATTTTTTTTCTTTACTGTTGGTTTAAAACAGAAAAATTAAAAAAAAAAAAAATCTCGTTTTTTTTTTTTTTTTTTTAAATCATGTATTTTGTCAAAAATTGTTAAATTAATTAATTAAAATAAGCTGTAGGTTTTGGTGCACCATGTGTCTCTTCTGCTGTTCAAAACGGATCTGGTGTGTGTCGTCTACTTTAGTTGAGAGGAACGTAATGAAGACAAATATAAACATTTACTGCAGTAAAAGATGCTGTTGCTGTAAATGATTCCACAGAGAAACGCTGGTAGAAAACTGTAAATGCTGGAAGTAAATATACTGATTTTCCCGCTCAGTGACTCTCAGCTGCACATCAGAGCTCGGAAACTTTAAACTATCATCTTTTAAACCTCAACATTGAGGTCTGACAGCTGCAGTGAAAAACTGACTGAGCAGCAAATCAGGACCATTTTCTGCATTGCCAACTAAATGCATGTCGGTTCCCGTAGTAACAACACACATCCAGCTTTCCTGCTGTCAACAGCACGGCTTCATCAGATAACTTACTGATCAACAGGTTTGTAGATAAAACTTCATCTGAGAATCATCAAGAACTGGTGAAAGAAAGACGCTTCTCACCACCGATTTAAACCCAAAACTCCGAACAGAACCTCTTCAGGGCAGGTTAGCTCTGCAGCATCAGTTACCATAGTGACCAACTGTGCAGCATCTGTTACCATGGTGACCAACTGTGCAGCTAGTGACAGGATTTGCACCCGTGTGATACATAACTTAACCAATTTGTCACCTAACTTGTGTCAAATTTAAAGAGACCCACTCAGAAACTGTTTGAACGGGACCAGGACGGACTGATGACGACCTGAAAACATAGAGGCTCTGGATCCAGAACTTGTTCATTGAATAGTGAAGGTCACAGCTGAATTCTGGGACATCAGAGCCGCTGTGTTCTGACAAGATACAGAAAAGTTTAATGCTGCAGACAAACAGTTTACTCTTCTAACAGCCTTGCATGTTTAATTGACAACAGGGAACTTTCAGTGGGTTGAGGTCTTGGATGAGAATCAAACATCTGCCTGAGACTCACAGTAAAGAAAGAACTGACTATATATTTATACATAGATGTACCTGTCCAGGTCATCGCTGTCCTGCATGTTGAACAGCATGGACGGGATCAGTTTGTCCATGTGTTGCTGCTCCCAGATTATGGCCTGAAGCTCGTCGTTCACCGTCTTCCTCACGACGCCCTGCAGACCTTTGATCCCGGCAACACGGATCCTGAAGAGGACGAAAACACAGTCACTGCAGCATCCAATTTTTTTGGTTAATTTTAGTCTCTATTGTTTAAAAATGTGCAGCTTTAGTTTAGTTATTGTTAGTTTTTTAGGGACAAGATAAAGAAGTTCAGAAGCAGCATTTGTGACGGTTGCACTTGCAGCCAAACAACTATAATCAGAAATCCGATGCATTAATGCACATTTTTTGAGACCCGTACTGCACATGAATGATGACACACAGTCATACAATGCCTTCATGGTTTATTTTGCATTGTCTGTGTCTTTTCCCTGGTGCCAGAAAACCTCATATCTGGTTTCTCATATTACAGAAGCTGCAGGTTTCCTCCAAATCTTATCTGACGTCTGAAGAAAAACGACTGAAACTTCATTTTAATATAAATCCAAACACACTGAGACCACGCAGTCTTTACAATCAGCCAGACAGAGGATCCTCGACAGACTCTGCAGAGCAGGTTTGGTCTCGGTAGTCAGAACCGATCAAAGCCGAGTGACGCTGATTTTACTGCTTCTGTTTTCGACACCGACGAGAAATAAGAGAGGAGCGGAGCAGGTGACCCCGCCTCAGCCGGATCTAATCACCGCCACTGAAATCCTATTTGGGAATTCCTCTCCACCTACAGCGAGACGCCGCTGAATGGAATAATGAAATACAGTAGAAAAAAGAAACTAGAGTGAGAAGTCACACTGTGAGGAGGAATAAACTGGAAAATAATCCCAGCATCCCCCGACGCTCACCGAACCGCCCACGTCCAGCAGCAGCACACACACACACACACACACTCCAACACACAGACGGAGATAAGAGTGCATTTTTATGCACAAATAAGCTCGCACGCCTCGACACCGAGAAACCTCAGCTGCCACGGTGAGATTTTTTGCAAATAACTGCAGCTGCTCTGGAGGAGGGAAGCTGTTTTCACAATGAATGAGGCTGAGAAGTGTGCAGGTGGAGTTTTAATCCACTGCTGATCGGTGCTGGAGTCAAAGGGTGGGCGTCTGCTGGGAGGAGGCAGCTTGTAAAGCCTCACTACCGCCGAGCTATTTTTACCTCCCAACAATAAGGCTGGAGGCAGAGAGTGTCTACAAAACAATGAAATGAGGTGTTTGCTGGAGTCTGGATCATTCTGACCACCATGGGCAATATGAATAATAATGTGGACGAAACCTGTGTGTATTAGTTCAGTAAGTTTGTTTTTTTTTGCTTTTTAATTTTATCGAATAGCCTTTAAGCTCATTTTTAGATGCCTCCTCCCCTAAATTGTCAGTTAAAAGCAATAATGTGTTTGTGATTGACAGGCCATTTATTCTCCAATCATCAAATTTATAAAACAGTTTCTCCTCAGCCATCTCTGAATGGCGTTACATTGTCACGGCATTACATGTGGATATTTGTGAAATTTCAGCTTGACGTATGAAATACTTACATGAAATACATCTATTTTTTGTCATTGTTTGTTGATCCACCGTCAGCAGGTTTTGTTTGCACATTGAAATTTAAGGCTGCTTGAACAATAACATCTCAGGAACCATTAAAGATAAAAACCTGACATTTTCACTGTTATGTCATTGAATCAGAGTTAAAACGTGAGAAAATACTGAAACCTTCCTGAAAACTCTCACTTTTGAGCTCACAATAACCAAAAATAATGATAACACAGAAGTCAACAACTAATATTGTCTGAATAATATGTAGCTGGATGTCACAACAATACAAAACGAAACATATAGAACACTTTTAATATGAAATACTTGGTCGCAAAACTTTTAAAAAGTCGTTGTTGTTTAACTTTTATAACTGATTGAGCAGGTTTAACAAGTTGTTCTGGAGTTTAAAATGGTCTGAATGAGCTTGAGTCTCTGCTTTGTCCTCATGCTGCTGTCTCACAACAGAAACATCTGTAAATGAGAGCAGCTTTATTGTGAGTTCGGTCGTATTAAAGTGCAGTTTATGTGAGCACAGAGAGCAGGAGAGAAGCTAACAGATGGAAAGAGCAGCAACATGAAAACACAGGAACACCCCCAGCCCTTGTTGACTGGTTTAAGGTTTCCACCATCAATCTTCCTTTTCAAAAAATTGACACCATTTCATGAGTCCTGTTCTTATTTGTTTTCTGGATTAAAAAAAAAAAAGTCACAACAGCAAATATCTGGATGCTGCTCTCGAGCACATTATATCTAAACAACATTTCTGTTTGCAGGTTCAACTTGGTTCTTCTAAGACACATGAACGTTTTTACACCGTCCAACACTCTTGTTATTCTCCTCAGCTTCACATCCTCAGTGCTGCCGGTTTTAAATATTCCTCTCTTGTCTCCAAAGGCACCAGCGATTACTCTGAAATCATGGTGCTGACTCGCTTCTTCCAAAAAAAAAAAAAAACTAATAAAAATGTTTCCACAGAGCAAAACCTTGACTGGCTAACGAATTTAGGACAAAGCTTTCCAGTTAACACATGCAACAGGTGTAATAAATTAATCATAGCAATTTAACATTGACCTTCTGTTTTTTAATGATTTATAGAAATATGAATTTGTAACTAACATAAATGGAGATAAATGCACCAAAATGTCTAAAATGCAACGTGGGTCTTCTTGTTTTTA